GAAAGCTGAGTTCCTTCGGAAGCCACGTTGCCGATGCCCCTTCTAACAACCAGAGCAACAATTTTTATAGGTACATGGAACGTCCGGACAATGTGGGAGACCAGAAAGACCAATCAAATAGCAACGGAAATGAGGAGATACAACTTGGCAGTACTGGGAATCAGTGAAACCCATTGGACCCAAGCTGGACAACAAAGGCTAAATACGGGAGAGATGCTGATATACTCCGGTCACGAAGAGGAAAATGCTCCATACACTCAGGGAGTTGCTCTAATGCTATCCACAGTAGCACGAAATGCACTTGTAGGATGGGAATCTCACGGATCCAGAATCATCAAAGCATCATTCACAACAAAGGAGGGGATCACAATGAACATTATCCAGTGTAATGCACCCACCAATGATAGCAACGACGACGTTAAAGATCAATTCTATGAGAGGCTGCAATCAATCATAGAGAAGTGCCCGAGAAAGGACCTCACCATTCTGATGGGAGATCTAAACGCCAAAGTCGGAATGGACAACACCGGATATGAAGACATCATGGAACTACATGGACTGGGAGAGAGGAACGAAAACAGGGAAAGATTTGCAAATCTGTGTGCATTCAACAAATTGGTCATAGGCGGTACAACATTTCCACACAAACGTATACACAAAGCTACATGGATCTCACCGGACCACACCACAGAGAACCAGATAGATCACATTTGCATCAATAAAAAGTTACGAAGGACAATGGAAGATGTGAAAACCAGGAGAGGAGCGGACATAGCTTCAGATCATCACCTGGTTGTGGCCAAATTGAAACTGAAGCTAAAGAAGAACTGGACAACTGGACAAACAGCACCACAAAGGTTCAATACAGCCTTCCTTCGAGATATTGACAAACTCAATGAATTCAAGGTAGTTCTCAACAACAGGTTCCAAGCCTTACAGGATCTACTGAACGAAGAAGAAACTACTATGGAGGATAGCTGGAAAGGTATCAAAGAAACATTAACTTCAACGTGTCAAGAGGTTCTGGGCCCCAAGAAGCATCATCACAAGGAATGGATCTCTACAGAAACACTGGACAGGATCAAAGAAAGAAAGAATAAGAAGACAGCAATTAACAACAGTCGAACAAGAGCAGAGAAAGTCCAAGCACAAGCAGAGTACATAGAAGCAAACAAGCAAGTGAAGAAGAGCATTAGAGCTGATAAGCAAAAATACGTGGAAGAACTAGCAACGACGGCGGAAAAAGCTGCAAGAGAAGGAAATATGAGACAGCTTTACGATACGACGAAGAAGCTTTCAGGGAAATACAGTAAACCAGAGAGACCAGTCAAAGACAAAGAAGGAAGACCGATCACTGAGATTCAGCAACAGCGCAACAGATGGGCAGAGTACTTCGAGGAACTCCTGAACAGGCCGGCTCCAATGAATCCACCGGACATCGAAGCGGCACACACAGATCTTTCTATAGATGTCAATCCACCAACGACCGAAGAAATCAGAATGGCCGTCAGACAAATCAAGAGCGGGAAAGCAGCAGGGCCTGACAATATACCAGCCGAAGCGTTGAAGTCAGACATCGAAGTAACTACAAGCATGCTTCATCTTCTATTCAAGAAGATTTGGGAGGCGGAACAAGTGCCGATGGATTGGAAAGAAGGACACCTCATCAAGATTCCAAAGAAAGGAGATCTGAGCAAGTGTGAAAACTACAGAGGCATTACACTACTGTCAATACCGGGTAAAGTCTTCAACAGACTGTTACTGAACAGGATGAAAGACGCAGTTGACGCTCAACTTCGAGATCAACAAGCTGTATTCCGTAAGGACCGGTCGTGCACAGACCAGATTGCGACACTACGGATCATCGTCGAACAATCAATTGAGTGGAACTCGTCACTCTACATCAACTTCATTGATTATGAGAAGGCATTTGACAGTGTAGATAGGAGGACGTTATGGAAACTTCTTCGACACTACGGAGTTCCTGAGAAGATTGTCAACATTATCCGGAACTCATACGATGGACTACAGTGCAAAGTAGTGCATGGAGGACAGCTGACAGACGCATTCCAAGTAAGGACCGGAGTAAGACAAGGCTTTCTACTCTCTCCCTTCCTGTTTCTTCTGGTGGTCGACTGGATTATGAAGACCTCGACATCTGAGGGAAACTACGGCATACGATGGACAGCTCAGAACCAATTAGACGACTTGGACTTCGCAGATGACATAGCCCTCCTATCACATACACACGAACAAATGCAGATAAAGACAGCCAGCATAGCAGCAGTCTCTGCATCAGTAGGCCTCAACATACACAAAGGGAAAACCAAGGTCCTCAAACACAACACGGAGAACAGCAATCCAATCACACTTGATGGCGAAACTCTGGAAGACGTGGAATCCTTCACATACCTGGGAAGCATCGTCGATAAACAAGGAGGTTCAGATGCAGACGTCAAGGCGAGGATTGGCAAAGCTAGAGCGGCATTCCTTCAACTGAAGAACATATGGAACTCAAAACAACTTTCAACCAATATCAAAGTCAGAATCTTCAATACCAACGTCAAGGCAGTTCTACTGTACGGAGCTGAAACTTGGAGAACTACAACAACCATCATCAAGAAGGTACAAGTATTTATCAATAGCTGTCTACGCATGATACTCAACATCCATTGGCCGGATACCATCAGCAACAGCCTTTTGTGGGAGAGAACCAACCAGCTTCCAGCTGAAGAGGAAATTAGGAAAAGACGATGGAAATGGATAGGACATACATTGAGGAAATCATCAAACTGCATTACGAGACAGGCGCTAACTTGGAATCCTAAAGGGAAGCGGAAAAGAGGAAGGCCAAAGAACACATTACGTCGGGAAATAGAAGCAGATATGAAAAAGATGAATAAGAACTGGAAAGAGCTTGAAAGGATTGCCCAGTACAGGGTGGGATGGAGAATGCTGGTGAGCGGCCTATGCTCCTTCACGAGGAGTAACAGTCGTAGTAAGTAAGATGGTGTGGCAATGGGAAGTCCGTTAGGCCCTGTCCTAGCAGACATTTTCATGGCTAACCAAACTCAAAGGAGCGATTAATGAAATGATGTATTATTCAAGGTATGTTGATGATACCTTCATCGTATGTAATGATCAACAACATGCAACAAATCTGCTAAAATATTTCAATGAAGCTCATCCCAATATTCATTTCACTATGGAACATGAAAAAGAAAATAAGTTCCATTTTCTCGATATCGCGATGAAACGAAGAAAAGATGGTACAGTTCAACGCTCAATTTATAAGAAAGACACATGGAATGGAATTTACCTCAATTTCAACAGCTTCTGTCCAATCAATTATAAAAAGGCACTTGTCAAAACATTGTTTCACAGAACAGAAAGAATATGTACTGCCGATACAATAGAAGAGGAAGTTCTGAATATTAAAAAGTGTTTAAGGAATAACGGATACCCGCTGAAATTTATTGAGAAATACGGAAAACGTAAAGATAAAATACCAAAAGAAACTACTGTAAATAAAAAACCTGTTTTTATTGAACTCAAATTCAAAGGTGATAATGTCACAGGGTCAATCAATATGAGACTAAACACTGCATTGACAAAAACATATCCAGCAGCTAAATTGATTGTCCTGTCCAAAACAACATGTTCTTTGACACAATCAAAGGTCGACAGGTATCCCTTTCATGTTACCACCAACTGTGTATACAAATTTACATGTATCTGCCAAAGCAGTTACATTGGTAGAACAGAAAGGAGAGCCTACGTCCGATTCAAAGAACATATTCCGAAGGGTTTGAGATTAAACGGACCAAAAACATTCAGCAGCGCTATCGCAAGACATCTCGTTGACACAGGACACGAAATCGATATACTGAAGTCCTTCAAGGTGACCAACAAACAATCAAATTCCAACCTTTTAAAATTTGCCGAAGCGATAGCAATCAAACGTTTAAAACCAGATCTTTGTATACAAAAAGAAACAGTAATAAATCTTTCTTTGCCCTGGTAACATTAACCCCTCTTTTATTTATTACGTCATTCCAACTCTTTCCAAAAAAAATTTTATAATTACATCATTCATAACTGACCAATTTCAATTCATATCTCTCTTTATTACCATTATTCTATTTTCAGTTACTTCATTACATAATCATCTAATGTGTTTTAATTCCATGAGTTCTAATCACTATTTCTATGTTATGGAACCTTCCCTCCCAAACTATATATATTCGAAACAAAATTTTTATAACCTCATTATTTCTAACAGCATCTTTGCTACATCATGTTACTTATATTCATCCTTCATCACCCTCTTATGTCTAAGTATGTCAATATCTGTAATAACGTTGAATTTCAAATATTTTAGGTTGTAAGCAGCTGATGAGAACCTAACGAAATAAAATGAATTCATGTTATTCTGCACCAACCTTTGTTCTTGCTCTCTTCAAAATAATAAAGGGAACTATGTGTATGAAATCGAATTTTTATTGAAACTTTGTGGAACACTTTTACTAATCCAAACGAAGGAGTAAAGGTAGTTAGGAGAGTGACTCTTACAAATTATTTGGGAACTAACAAAGACAAATTCATAATAGAAAAGATGTGAAAAGTCACTGTTTTTCAATGTTATACATCTTATTGTAACAACCAAATAATCGCATTACAGAATTGCCATTAAGATAAATCAGTTGACACTTTTAGGGATCTGGAACAACTTTGATAAAATCTACGTAAATGAATAATCTGTTATGGTAGATGAACTGTATAGTACAAAACGTCTATTGGTAGTTGAGGTAAGATATGGCTAATAGAAACTAAACCCTTGACTCAACAAGATTACAGAAATCTTTAGCTTTGAGTATGAGTATCTGCTGCAATTAAGTCGACCCTTTATTGCCAATCTCATAAAATCTCAATTCATGTCTATTTCGAATATACATGATATAACAGAAATACTCAAAAGTCATCAAATAATTTGTGACTACCTCACGATATATAACTCTGTCGCGAGCTAAATACACCTGTACTTGGCTTAAGCGGCTGTCTAAAGAACTTCCTTTTGCCATCACACGTAAGATTGCCGAGCAAACTGAAGCTGGCCCGCACCATTCGCCTGGTTTCCTATCACTCATTTGAACTAAACGATGCAAAGATAACGGAGAAAATGGGGACCAAGAATCATTGAACCATTTGATAATTTGAAGGCTGAAATCCGAATCTCTGAAAATATGCGAACCGAAAACTATAAAATAAGAAGTAATTATGAGGAGGTTCTACTGAAAATAAAATTATTGTAAGTACATTTCGTTAGTTTTATGATTGATTATCTGTGTAAGCATAATCAAAATTACCATTGTATCACTGTAGAAGCTCATTAATAACATGCAATTAGAATGATTAAAATGAATATACGTAGCATATGATAGGAAGATGAAACTTTAAACTTTACTGAATTATTTCATTTTGTCGCAATTCATAACACAAGGGCGACATATGAAACTGAATTGAAAGATAAGTAGAACATTCAATAATTACAATTACAAGTTATTTTACTCTTAAGTTGGCCCCCAAATGCCCTGGTACGACCGAGAGTGGGGAGAGTTCGCTCTCCCTCTCGAAATGCTCTCACATGGCCACGCGTATATAGCCTCTGCCAGGGAAGTCCTACTCACTGCCTTCTCGTGGCGGGGGTGTTGTTTACGAAAATGAAAGGACGAAAAGCGAATGTCCGGCGCTCTAACCGGATCCCAAACCAATGATCCACATGGGCTCCAGTATCCTGAAGGAACAAATGGCGTATGAACCAATCGTTGGTCACCGGATACCATGGGACTGCATCTCCTGTTGTTGTCCCACTGCCTTGCGGATCAGACGTTCAGGTCAAAGGCTCGGGGTGTGGCCCCCTAAGAAAACCACCTGTTTCGGTTTGGGCACCCGGGCAGTATCACAGCCCTCACACAAATCAAATGAGATTTGTGTGGCGCATATGTGTTTGGTGCCTCCTTGTACCAATATTTATGTGTTAAAATAAATAAACTCTTAAGTTGAGCACCGATGTAAATTGACTTCGGAGGTGTAGTACATAAAATGAATGTAGTGTCACACATTCTCGGGTATTTAAGGATAATGTTTAAAAGACTTCATGGGGTTACTGAACTATATATAAATTAGTCTCGGCGTAGAGAATACTTTTGGGCAATAAAAAGCAGAACGCTAGTCTCTAGTACTTCAAGCAAAATCGCGCAAAAAGCAAAAATAGACAGATGGTGAACAAATTTAGCTTTATTCTACTGGCTGTTGTTAACTCAAATGGTAATTCCACATAAACTTTCGATGTAAATATTAGGTTTGGTGAAAGACTTTAGTAATTGACTAGACGGTAAAGCGTGAATAATTAAGCAATACGTTTTCAACCTGTTTGGTTTTTTATGCAGATAAATTGGTGCATGAAGACTTCATTCTGAAATATTTTAATAGGTTTCAGAAACGCTAGTGGCCTGAAAATACTTCACTTTCACCAGGTTAAAGAACAATAGTTAGTATAGCTATTATTCTACTTGTGCTATAATCCTACTATGTAAAACATAACGACAGCTGTATTTTATACTTCTGATCTTCAACGAATTTTATTGTGACAGCGACAAGCAACAAATGTTTCATCAGTAGTACACCTCTACTTGATCACTATAATAGGTTATCCAAGTGGTTAAGTCAAAATAGCATTTAATGGTCAACTGTTTTTAGACCTACAAGAAAGGTTACATTTTAATGTGTTGTTACCTCTAATGAAAAAATTTATATCCGTCAACTCACAATGTGACTCAAAAAGTAAAAAAATGGACAAGAGTGAAAAAAGACTGTTATGCGAACGATGCTTTTTTAAATTTTTTAACAGAACAAGAACAGAGCACAATAAATTCAACTTTGGTACCGATGCCTACAAAAGCGCACGATTAATTCTTAATGTTACCGTAGTCCTAATTTTTCCTCCCAAGTCCATTGACATGATAGTGGTTAGTGTTATTAGTTTTATTGGGAATTCATATTCTCCTGTATTTTAATCTTGTTATTTGATGGTTACTTAAAGTTTAACCATTTGTCGGAGGAAATAAACATAACACAACAGTAGGGCTTTGACAAGTAGTATAGTGTGAACCAAGATTTAATTTGCCGGACAATCCGTAAGGAATTTGAAATCAATATATGTACGAAAATAATCCATGTTGATCGAAAGTCAGTCATATATTTATGTAACTTAATATGGTAAAAGTCATTTAGGGGAGGTATTTTATTACTTTAGACTTGTCTCACCGTAGGGAATTTATTTTGAACGGAAATTACTGCTGATATAGACTACATCCCATTAAAACTTCATTTTAAACTGACCAAGTAATACACTTGTATACAAAAAAAAGTGACCATAAAGAGCATAAGATTTTTTAAATATCAGTAACTCTACTTTGGTAGGAAGTGAATAGAATGAAGAGTAGGCTCACTAACCTTATGGATTTAGTCGCTGTTTGCTATGCCACCAATATGTTCATAAAACAAATGTCCGGTACACTCGTGAGTACTACTAATATGTTAATAGTGTACATAAGACAGGTGAATAAGCTTTATAGGTTTTTGAAAATCGTCAGTGAGGTTTAATGTGTACTGCGAAACGATATTCTGAACAAACCTTTGATTTTTTGTTAGCCTCCAATTTCTGCCCAAAAAATGAACTACCAAGGCCTGAGCAAGCAACATTTGTCCACATCGAAACATGCATCCCCATCCACAATCTGATGTCTGAACAGATAGAGGAATATATGGACTCGGGATATTCGAGGATTTTGACCCAACATGGTCCGTAGATAATGAAATAGAATGACTACTGCTGTGAATCGATAAGTTTTCTGTGTATACATAATGAAAGAAGTGGGACATACTTGATTGGGTTGTAAATAGGTCAGCTTCGGCTTGGATGCTTTCACTGTCACATGAAGCTGGTCTTTCGGTAGATAGTGAATACGGCATATTATTGGTAGAGGCACTAGAAGGACTTCTTAATATGGGGGGGAAGTTATCACGATAAGTAAACCATAATCTACTTGCAAAGTCTGAAGCAAAATCTGAAAAATTTCCATCCAAAATTATATCTCTTGGGATAGTTGGGGAATTGTCTGAAGTACGAAAAATTTAAACAAAATTGGCTACAAAATTTTATTTTGTTCATGTACATAAAATTACCAAAACACTTTAGGTTACATACAAAAATATCTATTGAGTTTAAATTTAGATAGACAATGAAATTTCAGAATTTTAGTTACGAAAACTTTAGATATAAAGAAATATGGAGGATATAAAAATCAAAAATAGACTTTAGTTTAATTAATAAATCATTGACATGCAGTATTCACCATATAACCAACGCCACTCGCAACTTGGTGTAGATGTGAGCGAATGAACAAGGACCTTTCGTAGTCACATTTCTAAGGTCTAACCGATAACTTATTCGGAAACACAACGATATGGAACACTTGTGTTGAGATTTTCTGGAACTAGACAATAAAGGTATCCTTTAAATGTTCTGAGTCCCCTAGGAGCGATATTGAATATTTCCCTCATATAGTTAGCAGGTAATTGTATAGGGTGTGAAAATTTAGGTGCCCACTACTAAAAAGTTACATATAAGGACGAAACGGTCGTCCAGAGCTTCCAAATTTCCAATGATTGTCTAATCTACGCCGATTCTTGATTTCAATAAAACTCAATTTGATTACTTTAAAAATTATTTTCAGAGAATGAACGTAAACTGCGGTCGTATTTTCCATTATTTGGTAATGACGTGAGTAGCTATATCCTTTTACAGGTCACTGCATAACTGGTGTAGCTCATATTCAGTACACAAAAGTGCTTATAGTTGAGTCGTATTACTTTTATTAACTGTCTAATCACCTCCACCCCCATGTGACAGAAGGAACATATGATTTATTGATATGAACGAATTGTTATAACTAGTAAACATAAGCACCACAAGCCTAGTTTCCTTCAGCATTTGGTATTTGCTTAGAGACACCAAGGTTACATACCTTACAAATTAAGAAGACAAGAACATGTTGTCTACAACACAAGATTTCCTGTTGACACATTTAGTTTACGGTTTAAATTGAAATACTTTCCAACATTAAAAGAAGAAATTGCATGATAAATTGCAAACTAGGATGAAATAACTGAAAATGAAATTGACAATAATCGAAAAATGTGGTAATGAGATAGCTAAGACACTATAAGAAATTCAACCTTTAGATAACATACTCTGCAATTTAGATAGTCATCTATAACTCAAAACTACTGGCGGGAAACAATTCGTTAGTTTACACTCTTTCGGACTGATTGTTACCAGGTCGATTTCCAATACTTGTAGTCACAACAATGTGGACACATTTACAACGGACAAATATATAAGGGAACACCACGACTAGTAAGAAATCGCGTTAACTAACCAGAAGTAGACGTGAAATAACATCGACCGAGCATATATATAATTGCATTTTGATCGAAATTTGGCCAGAACTGAATGGACCAACCAAACTTTAACTGATTCCACACTGAACGTATGTGGTCAAAAGTTGTGAAGCTGGATCGTGTAACTGATGCGGAGTTTCTGCTGCGAGGAACTTTTATCTGAGTGCGAACGGTATTTCCTTCACTCCGATTCATTTCCAGGATGATCGAGTTATTATTTTGGGCATAGTTTCTTCCTAAAAGTTCTAACAAAGACGAGTTTACATTGGAGACCAAACAGAACTTTTTAAACTAAATGAAACAAAATATTATGATTCATGGTAATGATGGGCAGCTAAAATAAGTGTCAAAAACAAAAAGAATAAAGTCAGATATTTATTTGTTAATTTACTGTTATCAAACAAAATTATTCATATAAATTTCTATTTCCCGGAACAACAGGCGAAGTCAGCAACCCTTGGGTAATTACTGTTTGAGGTGAAGACATGTTGGGGACAGGTACTCCCTTCTCAAGATGATATTGTTTAGACAAATCCACCAAAGCCTGAGAAATACAACTGTAAGGAGTGGAACTTACTGAGAACGTACGAGGCTCGTAAATAGATAAGATTTGTAGCATGTTTTTATTAAGAGCGATATTTGACTGGGCTAAGCCTTCACATAATGCTCTTGCACTGGGTAGACCACACTGTTCACTAGCTATTTCCAGCCGCTCCATCCACAAGGATTTCATTTCTTTCCTCCGAACTTCTCTTACATCTTTCATGTACTGGAAAGCCCTGATAACACGGTTAGTGCCTAGTTTGTGACATCGAGCCGTTCGACCTTTAAAAAACTTCACTCGTTACTAAAGTGTTATGTATATCTCACGAAAGCGAATTTCATTAAATTGTCCCTCCGGAACCACCTGTCACATGGCATAAACGGGACAACTTTTCTGATGCAAAGGACATCTGTCAACTTCATTTTCTTGAGAGCTGAAAAGTCGGCACGGCAAAAAAAATCCAGGCTCAAAGTCGCCGTTTGAAGCTGCCCGCCCTTTTGTTTCAACGACCTTGAACGACCTGACAAGAAGCGGTTATTCCGTATTTCAAAAGCATAAATTTAGCGTTCTCTGTCTTGCAGTGTACACGTTGGCTCTGTTGTTGCTTCGTAATTTGATCTGTGGTCCCAACTCCTGTAGTAAACCTCTGCGAAATGTTAAATCAGCGGTAAATCTTAAGTATTTGTAGTATTTCCTTGGGTTATTATTGCTTCGAGGAATCATTTTTTATAGTTAGTGATTTCTGTTTGTAGTGCTTCATGCTCAAGTGACATTTCAGTCGACCTAACCGAAGCCTTTCAAAATATGATACTGAACTAGCGTTTTGCATGCTGGGATGACTTTGATAGCGCAATAAAAGAGTTCCAAAAAGTATGGAAGAGTTATTTTATCATTTCTCAGACTACCTATACTCATTACTTCCACACAGAAAGCAATTTGTTGAAGGAAGTCGGGTTCACATACCTGTTTGTTACTTTTCACTGTACATTTGTTCATAAGCGGGAATCGGTAAGTTTGAAAGTGAGTCAAAAATCGTGAAAACTTTACTTAATATTACACGTTTAAGGTCTAAATTCCTTAATTGCCAATCAGAGTTCCGTGTAAAAGTAGAGGCGCAAGGATATGTCATCAAATCATACAAGATGCTCCACAATCATCCATGTAGTAGTTCATGGGTGGTTTGTGATCCATGGACAAGAAGACTGTCGTCGGAAGAAAAAGAGAATTTAAAGCCAGTCATTTTGCAGTCGCAGTCAACAGATGAAGTTTTAGAATGTGTCAAGGAGGGAACTGGTAAGCTGGTCACCACTGCTGGTGTAAAGACTATGAAAGCTAAACTCTCCACAGGTAAGTGTATAAAAACATGTTTCAGGTTGTTGTACTCGAAAGCAGCTTATGGATTTGCTGTGACAAAAAGGTAAAGTTAGGGAACATTTAAAAAATGGATATGTGACGAGAATATGTTTCAGTAGTTATGGCCAAATACACTTGTACAATAAATATCCTGAAGTTGTTTGCATTGATCCTACTTATAATACCAATAATACGAAGTGATTTTGCTTTTCGTTGTATTCTACTTTGTAGATATTCCTTATTCCAATTGGTTGTAACGGATAATTTTTGTCGAGGACGTACTGTAATGTTTGCCTGGACGCGAAAGTAAATGCCTGCAGATAAAACCTGGATTCTTGATAAATTCGAAGAAATCATGAGAACAACAACACGGAGAAATATGGTGAACGTTTCGCAACGGAAGTTGAGAAAAAAGTGAACAATTATTATTTAAGAATTATCAATAATAACTTGTAAACTTGTTTTTATGCTTCAGTATTAATGATGATTAAATATAGTTTTGCATAATTTTCATTATCTTCTTATTCCTACTTTCATGGAGATGAATACCGATATTGTTCACGAGTCTGTGACTGTAAAAATTAAGAAGGAATAAGTGACGCTATTTCCACCTATAGTCTTACAGATTAGGCATTCGTTATATTTCATGGTTTGTTCTCAGCTGCTTACAACCAAATATGCATTAGAATTTAACATTGAGGTATGAAACAGTTGACATAACTGAATATAAAGAATTGGAATAACGTAGGTTATCAATGATAACAATATACATATGTATATACGCAGTAACAGGTCAGAAGTTATTTATTTTTAGAATCAAGGAAACATTAAGGATGGGTGGTGCAATAATCCAGTAGAGTTCACAGACAGATAAGTGGTGTGAAAATCTCATAGGTTATAAAGGATTTTTGGATTTAAAACTGATAAGTTCGGTTACGTAATAATTGAATAGAATTTAAAGAGGATCAAGTGGGTGGGGATGAGTGACAGGGTGGTTTAAGAGATCGCTAGATAAGTGTGAAAAAATAAAATGAATTATTATGTAACCCATCTTATTACTTGCTAATTCCATGAATTATAATGCATTTGTCGAATTACGGTCTACTATGATATTAGCACTGCTCTAATAATAGACCTAATCCTAAAATTGTAGATTTGTTATGATGTAACTGCCTAATCTATAAGATCTTGCATGGAAATCACATCATCATCTACACCAACTCACTGCATCGTAACAATTACCAGTACATGATGGAGAACAATCCTAGGCTAGAGATAGGACAATATATTTAATATGAATAAAAGATATAAGGTAAAATTCAGGAGGGGCCACGCCTGCATGGCCGAGCTATGCCATACGATCAACCCCGATTAGTTCAATTCCTTATTCCCGCCTTCTCCATTCTTCTGTATTTCCCAGCGTTAGATGTTGAATGTTTATTTTTCGTATTGTCTCGTGGTAGGGCCCAATGCCACTACACATTCATATTACTATGGATCAATATTTGTTCTGGCATCATATAGACTATTTTGACATACCTACACGATTTATAATGTAAAACACTGAGTATAGTTGTTATATTTACATTTAAATAATTCAGTAGGTGAATGGAAATGTCAGTAGGCAATATACAAAATAGTTATCGTAAACTTATGAACTGGTTTTCCACATGATCATCCATAATCACAAATTCCATAAATTGTACACCGGCGTAAACATTGTCACAATGCTTCGAGGACCTTAATAGCCTCATGGAACTCTGAAAAACAGAAAAATCAGTCTGGAAACAACCAATTAAACTTAGCAGTATCACATTCAATAAGTTAATCAAATAGCAGGTAACAGAATGTACGTATAAGTCTCTTATTTGCAAGAAATGTTATTCATCACAGATTTCGAATTCCGTTAATAGAAATTCATCGGTAATCTGCAGAACATATACACCACATCATATAAATGTAAACGCTTCACAGTCTTATGACATTTGTTTATACCAAGTTTATGATTTAAATGAAATGTTAATGGTTTCACAGCTCATATTGCCTTAAAACTCTGATTTCACTACATATATGACTTCGCTAGCAGGTGACGACTAACCTATTAATTTCTTATTTCATGTAAGCAGCGCTCTTCATTTTCTAATCCTTCTAGTATTTCACCTAGACATTTGGTATTAACATATAAATTGGTAAGCACCATTTGGATATTACTCGACAATATGCACTATAACGTTGTTCATAATTTGGTCAGTGATAGCGGATTCTGTTTACAGAAACTTATTCATGAATGCTATAACAGACACAACATAAATCAGTATTAACTACGAGATGGTTTTGTCCCCATGCTCAAAAGAAACACACATCGTTTTACTTATGGAAACTTTGTGACTACTTAATGTGACACTTCCAGTGGTGTTATATACTGTTCCTGTATATGTTCAGAAAGCGGACGGAAATGACTATCAACGACAACTGTTACTTACATAATTCTTCTCAAACACGTTACATAATACAATGTCACTTCAGTACAAAACCATGATACTTATAATGGGCATAACTGTTTATGGCTAAATATTAACAAGTTATATGATATTCATAAGTGGATTAACGCTTTATTGCTTGTATCTACATTTTATAAACAACTACCAACATCCATGTTCATCAACACCAAAATCAAGAAGGTGAACCATATGTAACAAGTTTAAAGCTTATTTTCCTGAAAACTCATTCTGTGATCTATTATATAACTTGAAAAAGGGTGAATCTTACTTGGTTGAGTTTGTGTTGTTACAAATAACCATATTAGGCTTACTAAATATTCACTTAACTGGTGAGCAAAAAATGCGTCGAACTGTTAATGAATTGGAATAAAAACTATGTAACAAGCACAAAAATTACGAAACTTGGCGTGTGATGGGGAAAAGATTGTTAATAGCTGATAAATAACGACACAAAAAATCCACGACAATATATTGCATGTGCGCGAAAACCCATGGCCTAACAGCTTAGCCGTGCCCTTCAACGACCCTAAACTGTTTGAAATGTGGCGGCTATTCTGTATATCAATTGCTTTGGGTTTGCTGGGTGTCCGTTGGGTTGCACGAATATGAAGTGTCTTCGTATTTAAGTAGTCTTTTGCTGCAGTAAAATCACAAAATAGTTGCGAAGAACATTAATGTAGCTTTCTCTGTTTCGTAGTGTACATGTTATCTCGATTGTTGCTTCGTAACTTGAACTGGGATAGCAATTATTAAACTGAACCTAACTACCTTTGTTTAAAACTTTGTAAGTTCCGAAA